GTCGACCCCCAAGGAAGGAGCTCGAAGAAAGCTGGGTCCCCATCCGATGCCATCACCAAACGTCACCGCTGCCCGTCGCCGTGAGTGGTCGAGATGCCATTTTCTCCAAGGAGGGAGGCTGGACTTGTGGGAATCGTGTTATCGCTCTACCCCACGGCCCCTCCGCCGGGCTAGCCTGCCACGACCGACAATCAGTCCATGAGCCTTACCCCTGCCCGACATACTGACCGATGCTGACGATGGAACCACGCATTCAATGCCTCCGAATGAGGGAGGAGAGGAGAGAGGAGTGAAGAGCATCAAGAAAATAAATACCTGTGAAGGTTTGACGCGGATGGGAGTGGCTGTAGTGGTGTTGGGTTTGCGGCGTTTTGGGGGCGGAGAATTGGGGGAGGGGGAAGGGGAGAGGGCGCGTTTTTGCTTGGGGTTGGTTGGGGTGGGTTCGGTGTCCGGGTGGGTGAGTTGGTGCTTTGCGAGAGCGAGCTTGTCGCCGATGGATTTGAGGAAGGCGTTGCTTGCGGTGGTCATGAGCAGGGCTTTCTCAACCTCGGCGAGGCTTGGGACCTGGTGAGGGGCGTTTGTGTGACGCATGCCCGCGAGCTTTTGGGCCGTGACGGCTTCCTTGGCGGTGAGTGCCCCAAGCGACGCATCATGGGCCTTGGTGGCCAGGGTGCTCACGAAGAGAGATGGTAAGTGCGTCTTCGCGGATATTTCCTCGTGCGCGGTCTGTAGCGTGTCGTCGAAGTCCCACCACCAGTGACCTGCTTTTCCTGGGGTGTTTTGTTGCCCGGGCTCGTCCTTGGGTAATCTCTTCATCCGCCAACGAACAACCAGGTTTCTCCCCACGGTCGTCATGGCTTGAAAGAACCTGGGCGAGATGTCGACATCCTGCCGCAAACTGTCGAGTAGTCCGTTTACCTCGTCTCTTTGAGCTCTGTTTAAACCAGACGTAGGTCGTTCCGCCAGGATCCGAAGCAGCACAATGCCGACGGTATCTGACGGGTACTCGTTGAAATGCGGCGCTTCCCAACTGTACCCGGACTCCGACATGACAATAATCTTTTTGGCTGCCACAGCCTCCTCCCCGGGCCCCTCTGCTTCACCCTCGGGCTCTGAGCTAGAGGAGGCATACTCCGACGGCGGCGGACTTCCCAAGTCCTCGCCGGCTATACGACTCGCTTGATATTCTTCTGTTAAAGAGAGCTCCGCCTCCTCAACATCAAGAGTAAGTATCCGCAGTTCCTCCAGCGCCGTGTCACCACCGAGTAAGTGCAGGACGCGCACCACACCGTCGCGGATTCGGATCCACCGAGCCAGATCATCACGAAAGCATGTTTCGCAGTAGACGCTCCCTGGGCGCGCAAGGCCGCGCGGTGTGGCGTGGAGTGGTGGCGCGTTTGTTCCCACGTTCCAGATGGCGGGGTCGGCTTCGGGTGCCGGGCCTACGACAGGACGGAGGGGAGCAGGAGGAGAACGCGGCGGCGGTGGAATCAGCCGCGAAGTCGCGGCTGGCTGTTTGGGCGGTGATGGCGGGAACGGGTACCGCGTGTCGACAAAGGCGCGGTCAACGGCAGCATCGGGCTCTGGGTCTTTCGGCGGGAGGGGGGCTGGCCGCTGCTTAAGGGGCGCTTCTTCGGGGCCTTTGGGAGCTTCGGGATTTTGGGCATGGGCCCGGGGCCCACAGGAATGTAATCCGCATCCATTGACTTGTCATGAGGGTCGGCTTCTTGGTCGTCACTGAGCTCTTCTGCCCGCGCTGTGTCCGTACTAGGCTCCGAGAAGGAAAAGCCGGCAACCGTTTCTTCGGCCAAACCGGCGGAAGTATTTTGGCGAGGAGTTTTTGGGAGAGCTTTGGTCGTCGTCTTGTTGATGCTTGGGGATTCCTTCTCCCGCGGTGCCTCCGCCGGCTTAGACTTGGCTTGTGCACCTCCAGATGAGTCGGCAATGCCATAGATATCCCATGGGATTGCAGGTGTTGTCGGTGCCGGGGCAGCTGGTTCTTGCTTCACGATACCATGGGGAGTGGGCTTCGACGGTGGAGGACCTGCGGAGTCTTCTGGCGTTTCCGTGACCCCGGGGCTTTCGTAGAGGTCGACAGCTTTAGGCCGTTGGAGCCGGGACGCCGGCTTCCTCGCCGAGAGTCGGACGGGTTCGATCCCGCCACCTGAGTGCGGGTTATTGGGTTGTGACCGGGACCCGGCTACTTTTTGCGGGCCTGATGCTCGCGATGCCTGCTCTTCTACCGGGAGCTGCGGCTTTGTCTTCGTTCTGGTCTTGGCCATCGTCGCTGCTGTCTGAGACCCCTTGGCCTTTGGGACGGCTGTTGGCTCTTTTCTCGCTTTTGTGGCGGGCTTGGGGTTTTCAGTAGGATGAGAGCTACCTTGTTGGATATCCCCGGCGGAAAGTTCCTCTTGCGGCTGGGAACTCGCTGCTTGTGAGGCTGTCATGGACCTAGTCATCCGCCTGCTACCCACGGACTCATGCGTAACCATCTCTTTGGCCTCCCCTCCCGACTTTTTCGTTTCTCTCTGCTGCGCAGCTTTTTTAGCATTGAGACTTGCTGGTTTTAGTATTGCGGTATGTCGAGGTGGAGGAGAGTATTGGGACTTCTTTGGTTTTTGTGAGAACGGCTCCCATTCGGCACTAATTGCTGGTCGGACTTCCTTGTTCGATGGCTCCATTGAGGCCACGGGCGGTAAGGAAAATAAAGGCAGTATTCAACTATTCGACATGGTACCCATATTATCCGCGCTACCTGGTTAACGAAATTCTTTATCTCCTGTCAAGGGCTGCGGTTTGTATGAGAGCCGGTAGCAGGTGTGACAAGAAAAGGGATCTCTCTCGTAATAATTGAGTTCCTCAAGGCACCGACCGTATTTATTCATGTAAATGCACAAAGCTTGTCAAATATCCCAGAGCAAAGCTCAACAGAGCTGCCATAACTTCCACCAAAGCTCCTTTGTTTCCAGGGGAGGCAGTCGAGCTAGTCGTTTCCGGCGCAACTGTAGAGTTGAACAAAGATAGGGGGCTAAAACTAGACGCAAGGAACGAAACTGAACCCCCTACACGGGATCAATATCGGTATCCAATCCAATGCATGAGCCGTGCCTGGAGGAACTCCAGGTTCCTGAGGTCAAAAATGCCATGGCCTGCTCTAAGCACGTACCAGTTTTTTCTCCATATAAAAAAAAACCCCAAAAAAAAAACGGTGTCATTCCTAACCTGTACTGTCGACTTCTCACTGTAGAGTTTTGGCTTTTTCTCCTTTCGATTTCTCTCGATGGCATCTCGAAGTCTGGCGTCATCTGCATTTTGCTTCCTCGAATTGGCATCTCGCAGTTGGTCTTGGCGGTGGAGGTGCACGGACCATTTAATGCTTTGACACCTGGCCAATCGGATCGCTGGAGAAAAGCCGCTCACCCGCACTTGGCGTCAGGGCCCTGTGGCTCGCTGCTTCGCTCCTGCTTTTGCATGCCTCCGTCGCGCATTCCTTGACAATCACGAACACGAACAAAAAAGTCGGATTTCTGTCAAGAAGTGGCGAAAGATGAGGTTTTTTACTACTACTAGAGCGATGCACCCGCTTCTTCGTCAGCAGCTTCAGTCTGCGCTGATTCGGCCATGACGTCCCATTCCTGGAACCACGACTACAGAGAACAACGTCAACATTGCCAAGATTGCCTGGCTCAGCAGAAAGGATACAAGCAAGGCCTACGGCTCGATGGTCGTCTACGTGACGAAGGGTAGCGAAGCAAATTGCTTCTTTGACGCACAAAATACACGGAACCTATCAGCTCGGTGAGATTACGCCACAGAGGTTAATCTTTACGGGATCTGATTACTGAAGCCCCCAGATGACGATATAGCTTACTGGAGACTCAAGAATGCGGCGTCATACATCGGCGATGAGGTCAAACCGGTGCTAGAGGCCGCCTTTTTTACACCGCGGTGCTCCATTTTCCCAATCCAAGGACTCGATACGTTCTTTCCATCCCGATTTTCTGACCTAAACTACAATCATCTCCTGATACTGTTTATAATTCCATTGCAGTCAAGGTGGCTTCTTCTTCCGCCTTTAACAATTACATCGTTGACTCCGCTATGGGGCCTACCTGCAGCCGGCAAGTTCCTCCAGGCTTCCTTTGGCGTGCCCGCGCGCTGTCAATGGCACCTCTGAAGGGTGTCATTCAAGAGCCATTTCAGGCATGTTTTAGGATATGGCAAGGTGGCCGAGTGGTTAAGGCGCTGGTTTTAGGTTATTTACCACCAGTGGGAAACCGCGCGAGTTCGAATCTCGTCCTTGTCAAAATGTCTTTTTTGAGTTTTGCGTCGTGGTCGGTTGGATTGGAGCTGAAAACCCGACTCAGCAGCAAATCCTTAGGCCAGCCACATCAAAAACAGAGGCACCCTAACCCTGACTATCTACCTCTTTGCCAACGCCACGCGTTCTTGGAGAGCCTGCTCCACTGTGTGAACATCACATCATCCCAAAGCACATCAAACACAGCATCAACATGGTTGTCGTCGATGAATAAGCGTTGGTTTACAGCACAGAATTCACGAATAGATTGCTTTTGGTGAACCAAAATTAGAATTCCCCAATACCGGCTCGCATTTTTATCGGCTCATTTGCAGAATTCATCAACCCAGAGTGCATCCGCCAACCTGGCATCACACTGCATCAGCTGGGATGTGAGATCGATGGATTAATAGCATCTCAATCAAACACACCGCCATCGCATCACGGCGATTCCACACCCCCATCATCTCACACATTCCCATTGTCCATTCCAATCTCCCACCATCATGTCTCAATCCTCTTCCGAAACCCCTCTCCTCTCGCGCGGCCTCGCCTCGCCGCCGCCCTCCTCACCGACGCGTCTCCGCCCCAAGATCGTCAATCGCATGTCCTCCGGCGCGCCACAGCCGGAGCGCCCTCACATCGAAACCCACACGGGCCAGTACGACGCTATTCTGCGCGACGTCATCATCGGCTTCTCCGATGGCCTGACCGTGCCGTTTGCGCTGACGGCGGGCCTGTCGTCGCTCGGCAACTCCAAAATTGTCATCATGGGGGGCCTGGCCGAGTTATGCAGCGGCATGATCAGCATGGGGCTGGGCGCGTATCTGGCCGCCGATACCGAGCGGCAGCATTGGTGCGTCTAAACTGGTCCGTGGCCATCACCCATCCAGTCCTAACCTACTGACACACCCCTCCCATGACAGGGAAGCCGAGTACGCGCGCGAGTCCGACGAAGTCGATACAATGCCGGCCATGGAACGCGCCGAGATCCACGACATCCTCGCCGGGTACGGCATCAGCCGTGCCGCCAGCGAGCCGCTCGTGCGGGAGCTGACGGCGTCCAAGGAGCAGTGGGTGCGCTTCATGATGGACTTTGAGCTGCGCCTGCCGGAGCCCGATGCCCGCCGCGCTTGGGTATCGGCCGCGACCATGGGGCTGAGCTATTTCGTGGGCGGCCTGATCCCCATGCTGCCGTACTTCTTCCTGGAGCGGACCGATCACGCGCTGTTGGTGTCGTGCGCGATTACCGTGGTTATTTTGTTGGTGTTTGGGTTCTTGAAGAACTGGGTTGCGATTCGGACGCGCAAGGCTGGTGTTTGGGGTGCGATGCAGACGCTGGTGGTGGGCGTGCTGGCCGCTGGGACGAGCTATGGCATTGTGCGGGCGTTGGACAACGCGGGGAGTTCCTAATGGCGCGTCGATGGGTGCCTCGGCATTTGGAGGTGTGGTCTCTGGTGAGGGAAAGCAACCATGATGCCCGCAGGGAGAGGAACTAAGGGTTTATTACCATTGGCCTAAAGTCGCCTTCTTGATATGGCATGACCTTTTTATCGTCTCCAGACACACGTTCAGTTCTCTACCGAGCCTTGACTTAACGTGACAAGGACTATCCCCACTCCCGCGCCGAAACCCTCACCTTCGCCAAGAGCCTGATCGGTAACCTACCGGTACCGGTTGGCTACCGGCCAAAGTGTGACTTTGGCTGGCGAGGCCAAGTGGGTCTGCCAAGATGTACCGCATCAGGCCCCCGTTCGCAATGGAAGAGGTCACTCCGTACCTGTAACCCCTTGTCTGTCGCGACCCTTTCCGTTTGTTTGTGATGCCTCTGTCTTTTGGTGTCGAACATGGCCAGCCAAGATACTGTTGTGGTGGCTGACGCCATCGTCGTTTCCTCTGTTGTCGAGGACGCGCCAGTCCATACTATCGAATGGCAGGATATCGACCCGCTACTTCAGTTCAGGCGACTGATGACGCGATGGGCGAAGGCCGGCATTATTTTGAAGCCAAGATACGAGCCGCCGAAAGGTCGGTTGATCCAGCCGAAATAGATCTTTGAACTGTTTGTCCGAGCCCTCAAGTAACTTCTGGGCTAACTTGACGGCACCGATAGGTCCATCTGGATGGATAATATCACGGTGTTCATTTCGGCGGCTAGTAGAGCGACGAATACAGCGGAATGAGGCTAACGCAGCGGAAGCAAATGCGGCTGTAATAATGGCAGAGTGTTCGCCGGTGCTTCGATCCATACTGCTAGCAGATACAGTACGGTGACCGTCAACACCATGATAATAATAATGGTAGGGTGGTGGTATTGCCTGTCGACTTCCAACAACAGCCCCGTAACCACGACCGCGCTGTCAGAGCCGCGTTCATGCTTACGTCAGCTACCGTTGGTGGTCTTCCGGCTCGCAACCGGCCAGATCTCACCGGTTGAGAAAGTGCCATTTGCACCGGTAGCCTACCGGCGAAGAGCGTCGATCTTCGCTGTCTTTGGGAAAGTGTGGTGGCTGCGCTAGTCGGTACATCGACGACCAGGGCACCGCAGGGGTTTCACCGGTAGAAGACACTCGGGCCACACTTGGCGCTCAGAATTGGTGCCAAAAGAAGTTAAGTGCGTCAAAAAAAAGGATCTTGGCGGCACAAGAACCCTGTCTCACCGGTAGCCAACCGGTACCGGTAGGTTACCGATCAGGCTCCAACCCGTCAATACTGTCAACTAGACTTTGTCCTCTTGCCCCGGTTCCACCTCGGCCTGCGAGTGGTTGTGATACAACTGCGATTCAAGGATAGCACGCGCCGCCTTCATGTTTTTTTGCGGCGCCTCTAAACTTCGAGCACCTAACTTATACCACCCCCCAACGCCATCTTCCATGGCCCTATAGGCCCAGTGCCTCCGGGCGAAATAAATTCCATCCATCCATCTTCCATCCCACCTCTCACATGTCCCTCTCTCCTCCACAATGCCCATTGGCCCTTAATATACACACCCTGTGCTCCCCACGGTAACTTCCCTCCGCAAAGAGACGCACAGCTGGTTTGGCGAAGCGGGGGGAGCGTAGACTCGCAAATCCCAGTGGGCTGTAAACGCGTAGTGGTACATCCTTCTAGAAGGGTGCGGGTTCGAATCCCACCGCAGCAAAACTCCCTCGAGGAGTTTTCGTAGCCCTCTACCTTCCGTCAATTAAAGGCGGAGGTTAGGCGGTGAGCTTTTTGACTCTCTTTTCTTGTTCTTTTCCTTCTCTTCCGCTTTGAACCGGCCTCGAACGGTACCGGCGCGGCGAGGGGGCACCAAACTCATCGTCGTCGCCGTACGATCTTCAATTACTGACTCCCATTTCGATAGCAACTGCCCGTTGCTCGCAATTCCCCACAACCTCGACCTTTCCTCGTAGAATCACAGTCCCGACCTGCACATTTAAAGAGGGCATCCGCGACTCGTTGGTACCCAGATCATGAAAGTCCACCCGTCGTCGCAAGCACATCAACCCCAACCGACGACCCATCCAACATCCCCGATACCATTAAGACCGCGGCAACGACTACGAGCCCTTCGAAAACGAAAACGATCTACGTGTCTTGCGCCAACCATGCTGTGCAGACCTCTTGGTGGTTTAAGCCAATGTGCGCAAGAATTCAGCAAAAAGAAAAGATGTTTTCTTCCTATTCGTCAGTACATATACGGTATCTGAAAGAGAACCCAAACTCAGCCAGCCCGGCCGAATTTCCTGCCCTGGGGATTTGGATTTGGAAACCCTATCACATAAACACCGACGGGTCCTGCTCCCGTTCCCTCACAAACTCCAGCGCTCTCCACTCCATGCTTCCCCCATCCCCGCTCACGAGGTCCTCAAACGCACTCACGACATTCTCCGCCGGCCTCCAACCCTGGCCGACTTGCCACGTCACTCTTCCTTTCCCCCGTTCATTAGACGCACCGTATTTCACTCCCCACCGAAACATAACGGGCCCATCCTTAGCCAACGGCGGCGCGTCACTACTCCCCGCGTACTCCCGAGCCCGCTCCTCCGAGGGCCGCCACGTAAGCCAGGTAAACAACATGAACTCAGCATCCTGCATAGGGAGGATCCGCCGCTTGAGGGATGAAGCAAACCCTAGCAAGAAAGGGTTGATGCGCTCAGGGATGGGGCGTGTCCGGAACATGTCTGGCTGTCGTTGCAGGTACATGTCATCTTCGCCGTCGTACTCGTCTTTTTCGTCGTGTTCCAGACCGGGCGGGTAGTGCTTCTTCGTTTCAATGAAATACCCCTCAGGGTGAGGATCCTCGCCTCGCGGGCCGGAAAAGTACCACTTGCCATCCGGGGCGCACGGGTGGAACTCGATCTTAAGATTCCGCATGTGTGGCCACACCAGAGGACGGCCTACGCTCGGGAAAATGGCAGGCGTGATCAGCGCGCGGACATCCAGCTCCTCCAGGCAAGTCGCCAGATCGCGCAGCCCCAGCGACAGGGGGTCACAGCCTCCAAACTCGCAGCACGACCTCGCACACACAAGGTCAGGCATCGGTATCGCTTGGTCGGCGTCGTCGCCGTAGGGGTTGGGCTTCCAGAACCAGAGCCGCGCCCTTTTGAACGAGATGGGGAGCTGGAGCCGGACGCGACGCACAGTCCGACAGAACTCGATGCGGGCATCGCGCCAGGGGCCGTCCCAGGCGCGGGCGGTTTGGCGAAGGGCGCGCGACGTGAAGGGGACCGGGAGGTGCTCCCATAGATAAGGGCAGTCGAGCGTCCTGAGGTCGGGGAGACGCGTGGCGAGTTCGAGGGGCAGTCCGGGGGATATGGGCCGCATGTGGATCATGTTTAGTCCTGGAGTGGAAGTGTTCGCGCCGGTGAGAACACGCAAATGGGTAACATAGAGAAGAGGTAGCGTGTCTGGGTTGTGGACGGCAAGAAGGCGGGTGTGGAAATAGCGGTGGAAGTGATCTGGGTTGATGTCGAAGGACTGGTTGACAATGTAGATCCAGCGCGGAGGGCCTTCGTCTCTGCGGATGAAGGGCAGCTCGTCAGGAGACTGTGGCTGGCTGGCTGCCCTTTCCTCAATGAAGTCATGTAGTGCGCGGAAAAAGGTGTGCACCTGAGCTGAAAAGTGGTCGTTGATGGCCTCAAACTCGGGAGGCGGCTCCCTACACGTGAAAGGCAAGCTGGGTAAGTTGAGCGGTAGCGGAGTTTCCATGTCGAGGTTGCACTCGCGAACGCCGACATAGAGACGCGGCTGGTGTGCATTATTGGCGTGAGCATTTTCGAGGAGGAAATTGAGGATGACCTTTTTTGAAGGCATGGTGATTATAGGTGTGTGTTGAGACGTTATAGTAAATTGTTGGATTGCCTCCAGAATGATTGACTGTAGGCGGTGTTGTGAGAAACCAAGGATCGAGTTGTCTCCGGCGTTGCCATCTGAAGCTTATGTATCAAGGAACTGGGAAAACCGCGGGTGAATCAAGCTCACGGGTACACGCAGTACGCTATACGGAGGCTTCATTGCGAAACTGGGCAAAAACCCAAATTCCATCATTCGGTTCACGCCCGGGCAATTTTAGCTAGCTAGCATATTTGCATTTCCCCATCCAGTAAATACATTCTGCAACAAAGCGAGTTTTTCTTCAGCCACACGCCACTTCTTCTCCCTTACGCGCTTCCGAGCTCAATCACATCCGTTCAAGCCCGCTTCCAAATTCCAAGCGCGCTCGTCTCTACTTACATCCCCTCCACCAACGTTTCCACGCATTATTCCAGTCGCGCCAACCTCCTAAAGCAAATTTGGTTTTTCACAATCATGGCTTTTGAGCTCAGTTCGTCCACCTGGTAGTCGAAGCCGCTGGAGCTGACGGAGCGCGCCTACGACAGCGGCACCACCGAGGGACAGAGGCTCTGTCACAGAGCAGACGCCACGACCGAAACTCGACAACCAGACCCGTGCTGTGGCAATCGCCACTTACATTTTTGAGAAGAGCACCTTCAAGAATCTAAAACGCTAACAATGCACCAGCGCTCATTGTAACGGGCTGTGCCCGAGGTGGGCTTCGGCGACCCTCGGCCCGCTCACGATAAGCACGGTCCACTGAAGCCCCTGGATGAAGCGATTCCCAGATGCCCCACAGCACACCGAACATTCTCGCAATGCGCTCGGGCCACCGCACTCGCGATCATAAAGAAGCCCACGAGCTGCCGGAATCGCTTGTCTTTCATTTTCATCTTCAAGCTTAGTGTACCCGTAAAGTCGTCACCAGAACTTAGACGACTAGACCCCACAACCGGACACACCCCACAATCGGACACTTGGCGCCACCATCACCACCAGGCTCAACAGCGTCTACCTCATCCATTTCTTAAGCAATATACATACAAACTTGATGATTCTATTCCTCTTCTACCTGGCGAATAGTCTCTAAGCCACGTACAATTATTTCTTCGGCTTCCTTGACTTCTTGACTGTCCTGTTGTGTCTTCTTCTTTTTCTTCTTAGGAGACTTCATCGAATCCTCCTTCGCCTGGATAATATCCTCTATCCTTGTAAATTTATCATTGGCATTCTCTTTGACCCTCTTACGGCCCTGTGGCTCGTGAGACTCTAATTCCTTCGTCAAGTGGTCGACCTGGGCCTTCAAAGATGCCATCTCGGCATTCTTAGCATCCAAAGCCTTGCCTGCCTTGGCCAACAGAGTCCTTGTCAGCCGTCCACTAGCTTCCATACCCTCACTTACACCCTGCTGGTGCGTACGGATGTCCTGGCTCTTTTGAGGTGTCCAGAACTCAGTCCTAGGCTCAGGGGGTGGTGTTTTCGGCCGTACAGGGAGGGCCTGGCTTTCCAGGACTGCCTCGGGGTCATCCAGCACTTTGGATGGGTCTAGGGGCCAAATACCGGTGTTTCTGAACCCAGAGATAATATTCCTAGCTGACATTCCAAGCTTGGATGTATCTCTATAGCAATGGAGGAACCGTCGCTTGTTTATAGCAGCTGATGCCGTGAAGCTTGCGAGCGCCTTGGTAGCTTGCCGGAAATAGCTTTTCAGTGCTGAGAAAACACTGCGGTCGAGAAGCTGGGTCTTGTGGGAGGTATGAGCAGGTAGATAGACCAGCTGAACCTTATTTAGCCAAGCTGTGGCCATGAAGTCACCGGTTGTGTGGCTAGAGTGTTCGTCGAGGATGAGTAACCTCCACTCGTCACCTTGAGGCTGAGTTTGTGGTAGATACACCTCTTTCAGCCACTTCAAGGCAATCTGGCTATTGCTCCAGCCTGTGAGACTGTAGTCAAACTTCCAGTCCAGGAAGTCTACCTCTAGCTCGGCTTTGGGAGGGAACCATTGTCCCTGAAGGGAGGCACCGGTAAAGACTATAGTTGGCGAGAGTCGGACCCCCTCTACAGTACCACACTCAATGACAGTAACCCACGTCGTTGTGTCAGAGCTAGTTGTGTAAGCTCTACGTGTGAGGGAACTGCCAATAACCGTGCCAGCCGTGGTTTCCATCTCCTGCATGCCATGCTCGTCGACGTTGGCTATATTCGCGGGTATGATATTCTTGTCGCGGATGTGGAACTCCAGCCTCCTATAGAAAGCTTGGTAGGCTTCCCGTGTAGAGTCTTTCGTACGAGAGCTTTCCAACAAAGCTGATTTCTTAGTTTTGACAGCATTGTGGCGGCGTAGGAAGCGGTCGATCCATCTGGCACCCAGGGGCTGACGATCACCTCCTTCAGCCAAGATGGCCTGCGCGAAACCTACGACCTGGCTACGGCTAGGAGCCCTTCCAGACTTTTCTTCATTAAGGCACCAGTCGACCACAAACTCTTCTTGCACAGGGCTGAGCCGTTGATTGTGGGTTTTGGCTTGTCTTTGTGGTTGTGAGCCATGGAGTCGGTCTGACAGCGTGGAAGAGGGAACGCTGTATTTCTCAGCCGCAGAACGTATGGAACAAAGACCCTGTTGAATATTCGTTATAGCCAATTGAATAAGCTCTTCGCGGATAGTAGCCATGCTAAATTTAGCCTAGAATTGTACGAGTTGTGTAAAGTTGAAGTTGGTGATGTCCGAAATGGCGGTGTGGAGCTAAGTGTCCGGTTGTGGGGTGCGTCCGGTTGTGGGGTCCAGTCGTCTAAGTGGAGGAGCGGTTTGACCGGATAGTGCAAGGTTTGGTGGCCTGTTCGCGGGCTCTCGGAGCAGTTTCTGAAGTTCTCTCCATTCCCATGTGACCGGATTTCCGCAGCCATTTTCGGCTGCAAATTAATAAATTGGTCATGTCTTATTTTGCAAACCGACTGGCTCGCACTGTGTCAGCGCCAGAACTGGATCTGTAGTCCGCGCTCAGAATCTGCTTCAGTGCGTTTGGGGGTGAAACCGGTTCTGCAAGCGACTGTAGCAGGGCTGCGGACCCTATGGAAATCGGTGCCATCAGTTCCAACACAATCACTCCTGTACCGGGTAGGGAGTACCTCGCCGACGCCGATGTGGAGCCTATCTTTGGCAGGAAAAGGGATTAGAAGAAAGTTGCAACCCTCGAGGACTAGTCTTCTTTGGAGGGGGGGAATGTGACGGCGCCTGCCGTCGGAGTGCATGTGGCAGCACCGGTCTCTGAGTGCACGCACCACCTGCTCTTGCATTTCGCCTCTGCACCGCGAGAGCTCTTCAGCTTCTCCTCCTTTCTCCCCATCTTACAATTAGCAGAATTGAGTCATGGCCATGAAACTTCGGGTTTCTGATTGGGAGGTGCGATCGTCAAATACAAGACCAATGAAATGTTAGTATCCAAGAAACCAGCTTGCCATAAGCGCAGCGAGAAACGCACCACCGGGCTCAGAGCGCGCGAGAGAGACCGGGGTAGGTGAAGATGGTGGTTTGTGGAATAAAAAGTGAGAGTTGTAGAAAAGCGATTGCAAAGTGGGGATATGGAATTGGTGGGTGAGGCTGAAATCTGACGGGCGGGGTGGATCTATTGAAAATCTGGGTTTTCGCCCAGTTTCGCAATGAAGCCTCCGTAACGCTACGAGCACAGCACTGTTCAAGCGGGGTTCTAATCCCTAATGGCAGCTTCGGTTGATGATGTCTGCATGTAGCCAGCCCGTGTTTCTCCATCCCACCCAAGCGTACGAGGCCTATCTCGATACGAGAGATTTCTCAGATATGGGAGTCTAGATGCGTATCATTTTGAAGAAATTAGTCTCTGGCAACAACGATATGTAGGTATCCATGTCTCGACTTAGGGGACAACCTCTATTTTATGAAATTGACGTCGAGCCGTGCAAAGAGCGAATTTTACCCTCGTGACTAAAAGTTCGACGCTGTTGACTTCGTCTGCAAATTAAATGGGCATGAGCCTTGACTAGAACTTACAATTAGCAGGCCCATGATGGTGGCCGTCTGACATGTAATACGGCCGCCAACGGCCATCCCATCTACCTAGATAGCAGTCCTTGTAAACTTGCGCGAATAATGCACCATTTCATAAGCTGGTATGGCTAATGGAAGAGAGGCATTTTATGCATACGGGTACTCGGAGGTGCAAAATCGACGCCGTGATCATCCTCTCCTCATTCAACTAGGTGTGTGATGTCCGGTTCGGCATGGCCCGGGCCCGGTCGCTACGGACCTGACCGCCAGGCCAGCGTGTTGCATGCAAATTGATAGGATATAAATGTAACAGTTGCTGGAAGAAAGTCAACCTTTCTCAACTTTTGGTTCGTTGCCGTTATTTGAGCTTCTCTACATTTGCTTTCGTTGATTCTTGTTACAAGGGTCCCCTGATGTCCTCCGGTAGAACATCAGAACACCCCGGGCTACGGTTTGGCGTAGAGATTGAGTTAGTGCTAAGAAGCAGACACCAAAAACATACAACGTTCATCAGTTTGGCTGCCGAGATCTGCCAGCGTCTCAAGGAGATCCAGGTTCCAAGTCACATCGGCAACCTTCTTCAGAAGACGGGCGCCGCTGAAACCTACCAAGAATGGACCATCATTCAGGACTCCACCCTGCCGTCAAACGAGGCAGAAAACAAGTGTAAGTTGACATAAGCTTGTCTCAATACTTGGAACTACTTATGCTAAGTCTGCCCTAGTTGGTGTTGAACTGGTGTCCCCGATTTTCCACATCCAGCAAAAGCACATATGGATCAGCCAAGTGCAGCAGACATGGAGGGTACTTGAACGCGACTTCGAGGTGCACTCCACCAATGAGTGCAGTACGCATGTTCATTTATCCCCATCAAACGGACCCTGGAGCTTGAACGAAGCTAAAGGGGTGGCAAGGGCCGCCATTTTCTTCGAAAGATGTATCGATGCGCTGATGCCGGGCCACCGGCGTATCAACCCTTACTGCATGAGTAACCGCTGGAACCCAGAGTACAAGGAGCTTTCCATAGCGCTGGTATTTGACGACATATCTCAAGCGGGCGACGAGCTCCATTTAGGAGACCGCATGTGCACCTGTTCCAAGGACTCAATACACGCCCAAAACACGATGCACGAGGAGGACTTTGTGCACCCGCATTTCCGGTGGAACTTTACCACCCTTACTGAGAGAACAAGAACCATCGAGTTCCGGCAACCTCCAGCATCCAAGAACTCCCGCGAAACCATGACGTGGATTATCTTGGCTGCGTCTTTTGCCCAGTGGGCCTCCGAGCGCGCAAACGCGGCTTTAGATCCCACCACTACGGCCGAAATTGGGGATCTACACAAATACGTGATGGCAGGCGCGCATATCAGTGGTGTGGTGGATGATATGCTCTTAGGTCTGTTGGAAGAGCTCTTCCGTGGTAAGAACCGGCTACCGGCGCCTCACCATGACTTGAAATCAACTACCGAGCAGGAACTCGAGTTAAAGGCGCAAACAAAAAGGATGCCGCTGCAGAGATATAAGGAAACGTTTGCACAGCTATAAACAATAATGCCTGAGCATTATCACACGAAAAGCAGGCTTATCCTGGCGCAAATAGGGGTTGGATTATACAGAACTTATTTCTCATATCAACTCGTGAACCACGTTGCATGCTTTAGCACTTCCCCCCCTTCGCTACAAAGCGAGCATCATGTTTACTACGCACTCTTTACCTCCCATACAAACTCTAGGATTGACATGGCCGACCCTTCCGGCTCAACCACACTATTGAGCACGAATGCAGGGTCGGCTTCCTTGAAGAGGGCCTCCCAGTCCGCCAGGGTCCGTTCTCGAGCATTGAAGGTGAAGGCCATTTCGAGGTCCATCGATCTAAGTTCAAGTTAGCTTACGGCCATTCTTGGGCTTTCCGGTGTTAGAGGGCCTACCTAAAGTCCTTCTCCTTCCACTGGGCCACCGTCCCTGTCTCAGGCATGACGGCCTCCTGTACGATGAGCTTCACCCCAGCTTTCAACATGGGTATTTGTGCTCTCAGAATCCGGATGCAGTACTTGTCGGGCCAGTTGTGGAATATCCACCGGAAAAAAAACACGTCAGCGGACACGGTTTGCTGCTCAAACAAGTCATGGGCCATAAACCGGACTCTCTCGCCCAAATCCCCAGCGTCAGCGTCCTGAATCACGAATCCCATATCCTGCACAACAATCTGCAAATTGCTGTATTGTTTGGCCAGCGCGAGCGAGAAGTGGCCCTTGGCTCCGCCAACATCGACGATTTGAGCGTTGCCTAGAGACGCCCAATCGTAGTGGTCGAGGGCGTAGGATAGGTCGAACTCCGGTCTTCCTGTCATGACTTTCATTGCGTTTGCGAACCGGACGGCTCGCTCAGGACTTTTGGCAATGACTTGGTAGATGGAGTCTGTCGTGTCATTTGCGATGGAAAAACCCTGGAGTTGGTTATCAGCCAGGGGTACTAGTGCCATGGCGAGTTCAAAGGGTGGTGCATCCTTACCGTCTCATTTGGCTCTTCGGACCCGGGCCAGCGTTCAAGAGCATGCGCCAGCTATAATGAAGACATGTTAACACTTTCCCCACGGACGACTCATGTGAGCCTCACCTTTCCCGCCGCAGAACCTAACTCCTCGGTTCCGGCTCGCGCCCAGTCCCTCATATCCTCGCTAGCTAGTAACTTGGACGCCTTCGTATGGGCAACCATTCCAGGTTCAGGCTCGTAAAAGATACGCATCGTTGCAGCGTGCCGGACGATGCGGCCCACCATCTGCTCCGTCAACGGCGTCTGCGCGGCGATGTCACGGAAGGACAACCGACCGCCAGGGGGTACCAGGCTGGCGATGCCAAAGCGGGATATGACTTGGATACATGCTGATTTGTCGCTCTATCACGGCAAAGGTGTTCTCCGTCAATTTTATGCTTTGTGCAGGTGGTAGGTAGTGTGAGACAAATACATACTCTGGAAGCACGGTGGATCATATTCAGGGGCTCCGTGAGCAGGTCCTGGAGCTCTGCTGTGGCATCGAGAACCACATCCCGAGCCTCCCCAATGTCCGAGGGCAGAGGCGGCGCATCCTCATCAAAGGAAGGGGACGGGATACCTTGAGCATCCAATGCTTCCTGGATCTTGGCCACCGCGAGCTCGATGGTGGCGGAAAGCTGTCGAAGTTTTGGAAGGGATGTGCTTGATGCCATGTTGGATTGCTGGCCCCGAAGCAGGGGGGCCACGTTAGACAGGGGCAATACTGAGTCTTGGGTTCACTAAGTTCCAACCAGCGCGGCAGTCAATTCTTCAGCAACATTTTCATTGCCAAGCTCTCGACATCGTTGTCACGTCAGGGGAATCGCTGCCCCTGCGTCGGCAGTCGGGATTGCTCCGCCTCTCTAACAACGAAGGATCATGGATGCCGGTAGCAGCCGAAGAGCGAAGATAGCCAGGGGTAACCAGAGCAGCCCTAACCCGACCCGGAAAAGGCAACAATGTCCATTTTGTGTAATCGAGAGTCCTTCATGCAGAGCCCGGGGACTTGGCCCGCCCGTCCCGTCGTTTCTGCGGCCGGTGGCCAATGCCACGACCACATACAGCCTATTTTTTGATCATTCTGCCGTGGCGTGGGTCATGGGCAGGGTACACACGAATGCAACAGCTGAGCCAAACCCCGCCGTCGTTTCTGGTTCTGGTTGGACGAGGAACGTGAAATCTGCTCGTCCTGGTTTCCGTCACTCGTTTGCCTAGCTGTAGTGCAACGGACAAACACGACATTGTCTCGCCCGGTGACACTGTGACCCTTCGGACCGAATTTGGCACACCTTGAGGACCCGCGCCGCAAAACAGTCTTGCTTGTTTCCTTCCCAACCAACCGAGGATCCGCACGTTGGTCTGGCCTAGAGTGCCATAGTGGCGCTTAGCCGCCGTCTTCGTCTCCCGTCTGCGGCGTAGACGCGGGGCACACACCAAACGAGGGAAAAGCTGTTGGAGACCTGGATTACCAACGGCAGTGGACCCCCATGCGGCCGAGTGGTACCCCCCTAGGTCGTTGTACATACGCCCCATCCCCCCCTGCATCATTTTTGGTCACCGAACGATATCTCGTTACTTGCATACGCTACCGACGGAATGGATGTACCTCCACTTCGAATTCCCTTCTGGGCACTCGACGTCGGAGCCACAAGATTGCTGCTCGGTACCATGCCTGCTGACAATGCAAGCTTACTTGCCTTTCCCACAGTGAAAAAGAGTGGCAGCTGGTGGTTTTGTGTGCAGGAGAGCATTCGGGCCCTGCTGCCGCCTGCTCCGGTTGTTTGGGAGAAACCTGTCACGGATATTAGGGGAGATAAACTTGCTCCATGACACATGACAGCAGAACACCAAACCAAATCAAAGCTGTTTGGCTTGTTGCCACCATACGTACACCAATAAATGCTTTCGTGATATTTCAGGATGCCTCTTCTTGACATACTGGACGTCATATCGTCGTGGGCCACGACTTCCGCTAAGCCGTGGTCTTTTCTCTCACCACGGTCACATTACTTCGTGAGACGCTCATCACCAGTTCCAGAACAGGCTGATGTCTGTATTCAAGACATTCTAAAGGCGAGAGCCACATCGGGACGAGGAAGCGTCTTCTTTTACCCGCGGGGCAACACGTCCACCCTTGCAAAGCTTTCATACCAAGAGTTGCATGCTCGTGCTTGTGACTACAGCAGGGTCGTTCGACGGCTTCCGGCTTTCAAAGAAGGCCACCCGGTGCTTTTGCACCTCGATGAACATCGGGATACCATCCTATGGTTTTGGGCTATTTTGCTCGCGAACGGCGTCCCGGTGTTATCGTCCCCTTTCAGTAACGTCGATGAGCACCGACACCGGCACATCCAGGGGCTATCAAATCTCCTCGAATCACCCATCTGCATCACCGCAAGCGGACTACTGCACCTATTTGACGGGCCACACAGCCTTGACCTCCACACGATCGAATCCCTCGACAACCTCGCGACATCCTCTCCCACCTCCCCCAGCGAACCACCACCCACAACAAAATGGCCCGGCGGCCCAACCCTCGCCATCCTAATGCTAACCTCCGGCAGCACGGGCAACGCCAAAGCCGTGCGGATCAGCCACCGACAAATCCTCGCCGCCATCGCCGGCAAAGCCTCCGTGCGCCCCCTGCCCCCCGACAAACCCTTTCTCAACTGGATCGGCCTCGACCACGTGGCCAGCCTCGTCGAGATGCACATCCAGGCGCTGTGGCTCGGCGTCGACCAGATCCACGTGCACGCGGCCGACGTCATCGCCGCCCCGCACACCTTCCTCGACCTGCTCAGCCGCCATGGCGTGGCCCGGACGTTTGCGCCGAATTTCTTTCTCGCGCGGTTGGTGGCGACGGCTCCCCCCGCTGAGGGGGATCAGGGGAGGAATAAGAAGCGCTGGGATTTGTCTGGTCTTACGGTGGTGGCGTCTGGGGGGGAGGCCAATGATGTGAAGACGGCGGCCGCGGCCTCGGCGTTGTTTGAGAGGTACGGCGCCCGGCGGAATGTCATCACACCCGGGTTTGGCATGACGGAGACGTGTGCCGGTGCCATCTACAACACTGCCTGTCCGGACTATGATATCCAACGCGGGGGTCGGGCGGTGGCGTCGGTGGGGAAGTGCATGAAGGGGATCGAGATGCGCGTGGTGGTGGGCTCGAGACGGGCGGTTGCGGACGAGCCGGGGGACTTGGAGGTGCGCGGGGAGGTGGTGTTTGATGGGTACTATCGCAACGAGAAGGCCACAGTGGACGCGTTCCCTTCTCCGGGCGGGTGGTTCCGGACTGGGGACCAGGCTTGCCTTGATGGGCGCGGCAACCTCTGTCTCATCGGGCGGGCTAGCGAAGTGATCAACATCAATGGCATCAAAGTTGTGGCAGCGGATCTCGACTCCCTGCTGGAACAGACGCTCGGCAGCCGGGTGGCGCGCTTTGTGGTCTTTCCGACAAGGGCGGTACATACGGAGCAGATTACCATTTGTTATGTCCCTCCCTCCTGGCCGCACACCGTCGAGGATATGGTTGCGGTTGACGACCTGGCGGCCAGAGTGTGCATCACCAGTGCATCCGCCCGGCCGCTGGTGTTTTCTCTGAGGAAGGAGTCGTTACCGCTGCTGCCGACATCAACCTTGGGCAAGATATCCCGGGCGAAGATGCAATCCTTGTTCGAAGCGGGTGTCTTCAGCGAGGACGTCGCCTTGTATGGGCAAGCACTCGCTGCCCACATCCTAGAGAACCAGCGAGACCTTTCCATGGAGAGCGTCACCGAAGCTGAGGCCGGTCTCATAGCTGACTTTGCACAAACACTCAACATCGACAGGCATCGGATTGGGCCCGAAACTCGCGTCTTCGAGCTGGGATTCACATCGATGGACCTCATCCGGCTGAAGCACCGCATCGACACTCGTCTGGGGATCACAATGCCCGTCATCACGCTCATGAAGAACCCCACGGCACGGTCACTAGCAACTGCTCTGGGCCTAGGCGGGAACTCAGCCACCGCGACGACGGAGTACGACCCAGTAGTCACCTTCAAACCCAGCGGCAGCAAAACTCCCCTCTGGCTCATCCACCCCGGCGTCGGCGAAGTGCTCGTCTTCGTCGGCCTAGCCGAGCACCTCGCCGACGACGACCGGCCAATCTACGCACTCCGAGCTCGGGGCTTCGAAGCCGGCCAAACACGCTTCGGCTCCATCGCCGAAGCCGTCGACACCTACGTAGAAGCGATCCGCCGCCGGCAGCCCCGCGGGCCCTACGCCCTGGCCGGGTACAGCTACGGCACGATGCTGGCCTTCGAGGTAGCCAAGCGGCTGGACACGCTGGAGGGCGGCGTCGGCTCGGCGGTGGGCTTCCTCGGCAGCTTCAACCTACCGCCGCACATCAAGGCACGCATGCGGCAGCTGAGCTGGAACATGTGCCTGCTGCACCTGACGCAGTTCCTGGGGTTGACGACGGAGGCGTTTGTGGAGGGGATCCACGACGAGGGGGAGGCGGGGACCTACCGCGGCGCAGCGCGCGGCGCGGCGCTGGAGACGGTGCTCGGCGCCGCGGACGGCAGTCGGCTCGCGGAGCTGGGGTTGGAGCGCGCGGCGCTAGCGCGCTGGGCTGATGTGGCCTTTGGCCTGCAGAGCATGGCCGCGGATTATGACCCGGACGGGCAGGTGGCGGGTATTGATGTGTTCCACGCCGTGCCGCTGAAGGTGGCGGCCGCGTCGCGCGAGGAGTGGGTGGGCGAGCACCTCAGCAAGTGGCGCGACTTTGCCCGCTCGGAGCCGAGGCTTCACGCCGTTGGGGGTGCGCACTACACCATGATTGGGCCGGCGCACGTCGTCGGCTTTGCGGCGAAGCTGAAGGGCGCTTTGGCTGCGAGGGGGGTTTGAGTTTGACGCGGGTGCGTTGGGATTTGGGGTGGCTCGAGGGTGGGATGGGGTCATTCAGAGGTAAGGGGTAAAGGTTGGGGGATTTTTGTGTACAGGTACAGGTACGAGGTACAGGTGCTGCTTTTTCGTAATCCTTGGGAGTGTAGAATCAGGGGTAGGCTTAGTTTGTATTCATTTATCGAGTCCGACGGATCTTGAATCCTTCCGATCTGATACGTCCACACCTCCACCTGGTCCGTCCGTGGACTTGCATTGGTGGCCCCCAATGCTACCCTAGGCTCACACCACCTCTCGGTGCCAGATTCATTGTCGAGCACACAGTGTCGGCGGTAGGGAGGTCATCTTGAGGCTGGAAATTAGCGGCTGCAGGATTGCCTGTGGTAAGCCTGGAGGTTTGCTCCATTAGCTCCGGGTTTGATGTACTTGTACATACAAATGCACCAGGACTATTTTGCACACTTGCATTCTTCTTGTTAGTACACTGAGACTGGAATCGGGTGAATACTGAACAGACTACCCCGGACGCAACCCCTGGATTACCCGGATCACAACATCACCACACATTCATGATGGAAGCAGCTCTCGAAACCATCAAGGGATTGGCGGCAGCCGCTGACGAGGCCACCCGGCGGAAGCTCGTGGCTTCGCTGAGTAGCCTGGCTCATTCGCTAGAGAGCCCCGGCGACACCATCCACAGATACGGGCACATGGTAAGTTGATGCATGTGACATTGACCGTCTTTGGCGAGCTAACCGCCTTGTAGTCTCTACAAACAGCCGCGATCAGGATCGGCTTCAACCTCGACCTTTTCAAGCTACTGGCCGATGCGAAAGGCCCCTTGACAGTGGAAGAAGTGGCTGCAAAGACCAATACTGAGGCTGCATTGATAAGTAAGATGGACGGTCCGCCATTGAGCCGTGTTCGGACAATGCTGACCTCGCACAGGCCGGATCTTGAGATATCTCGCTGCTATCGACGCGGTCAACCAGGTTTCGGCCAACGAGTATGCTGCCAACAACGTCACTCGGAACCTTACCGAGAAGGTGGTTGTGGCGGGTTTGCACCACTAGTACGTCTTCACAGAATGATCCTTGAATCACAAGTTTCCTAACCCGGCATGCCAGCTTTTTCACGGCCGGGCCGCAGTACGAAGCTCTGCCCGAGTTTCTGAAGAGAACGAACTACAAAACCCCCGACTCCGAGCTAGAGACGGCTTTCCAAGAGGCTTGGAAGACGCCATTGCACTCCTTCGCGTGGTTTGGCGAGAACCCCAAACATCTTGGCTATTTCAACGACTACATGGCCCTCCGCCGCAAGCCTCAACTGTCTTGGTTGACAGTATACCCCGTGGCCGAGGAAGCCAGGGGCTGGGATGCAAAGGATAACAGCCGGGCAATCTACGTCAACATCGGCGGCGGCATCGGGCATCAGTGCGCCCAGTTCAGGGAGCGGTACCCGGACCTGCCAGGGAGGGTAATCCTGCAGGATCTGCCGCACTCCATTGCCCAGGCCTTGCCGACGGCCGGGGTTGAGAACCTTGCTCATAACTTCTTCGAGCCGCAGCCGATCAAGGGTGAGTGCACACTACAGACTCCAACTCGCACCTTTTTGGGCGTCCAACTGACCCAATCAACAGACGCCAAATTCTACTTCCTCCGTGGCGTGCTGCACGACCACCCGCACCACAAGGCGCGCGCCATCCTGGAGCAGACCAAGGCGGCCATGGGGCCAGAGTCGGTCCTGCTGGTTGACGAGATGATTTTCCCGGAGAAGGGCGTCAACCTCGCAGCGGCCTCCATCGACATGACCATGCTCACAGCATTGGCCGGCTTGGAGCGGACCGAGGCGCAGTGGCGCGAGATCTTTGACGAGGTTGGATTGGAGCTGGTCAAGACCTACGTGTACAACCCGAGCAATTACGAGGGCGTGATGCATGTGCGGTTGCCCGGAGTGGGGAAGTGAGGACTCGGTTGAGTTGAGGATGATGATCTTACAAGGCGTGTATTACCAAACCAATGGTCGATAACTACTGGGGCCAGAATAAGAACTCGCGGTGAGCATGGGACGGAGATGAATGCTTGTTAACATGGCTATCTATTCTCCTTTCCCGTCTTCTTCTTCACTTAGTGTTGTAGCCATCTTGTCAACACGATGACAAGTTGGAAGTGTTTCCGCCAACCAACGGAGTTCGTAACGTGCCAGATGCTTGCGGCGGATGATGTCAGAATATCGGGGTGGAGGCTTCGGATATGAAGAAAACGGGGCATGTTTAGCTTAACCATCACTTCTCATTTCGACGGGTAAAAACCCCAAGGGGACCCACATGTCGGAGTCTGAACGAGGACACACCGAAAAATACAACGGACGCGGAACAAGCGCGGACAACAACCATACTTGATTGCCTGATTGGACCAGTGAATCCCGTATTCTGACAGATGATGCATTGAGGCCTACCGTTGCCGCAATATCCAGGCAACAATATCCATCCACATAATTCTTGTGCCGACATTGGGTTGTAACTGGCCAGAATTGGACAGGAGTGCCGTTTGATATGCATGAAGCTGTCGAGTCCCCGCTTGAGAGCAAACAAACAAACAGTTTTGGCAGATGTGTTGGGAATATTACTGTGCCCCTTCTTTCCCTGAGGTCAATGTGCTTCAAATACCACATACTCTCGGTCAAGCTCCCGTCTCAACTCTTCGACTTTGAACCCGACATCTCATGTTTCGGACACTTAGATTAGCCTCGCGTGGCATTTCGGTTCTCAACATGGCATCCACCACGAAGCCCAAGAAACAGAAGGCACCAAAGAGAAAGAACCCCCCCGCTACGACTGCGACCTTCCCATCTCTCCACGAAGACATCAAAAACGTCCTCGCGAGTGAGGATGTCATCCTCGATCCCAAACCGTGGTTCAACCTCACTGGGGGTGACGCTGAAGCCACCAAAGAGCACGACACAAACATCATGGGCCGGTTCGAATGTCGCAACAACCAGTGTTCGCAGCGCGGCTGGGGCAGCAAGAAGATTGCCATTCATATTCGCGGGTTTCCGGGCAATGGCTACAACGCTGTTGTGTACAAACAACGTTGCAGAACCTGCGAGAGGCTGGGCATCCTGCGACTTGACGAGAATTCGTACGTGGAGAGGATCGTGTTCCGACTGAAAAGGTGGGCTGGATTACCTGTCGACGAGGTGGAATACGAGAAAAGGCCTACACCACCCCATGATAGGGATCGTTGCGAGGGTTGCAAAGCAGGCCACTGTAAGGCTGGACTTGAGGGAGATTGGGATAGCACCTGATGGCGGCTCCATATGGCAGGATTGGGCAGTTTGAGCAATGGGTAAAATCGCGATGCGCGACAAAGCTTGAAGGAATGTTCTGGTAGTAGCAGCGAGCCCAATTTGATCGCTACTTGCTACCTATGCTTTCAACACCGGGCTCTGTTTGTGCTCTAAGTTTATGTATGGATTGCCGCCAACCCAAAGGGCTGGGGTGTAATTATAATGTGTCAGAACAAGCCCACGGCGGCTTGCGCCTAGGACCTGGGTTACGTGACCCGGGGGCCAACCAAATTACTGGTCGCCAGAAAATTAGACCAGTTGAACAAGTTGAAGAAGAACAACGAACAACAAGCACTGCAATTGACAGCCATCAACACCCTCTACTCCGTTCCTTTTGACCCAAGCCTTCAGTGATCTGCTCAATGCCTTGAAATACCGCTGGTTCCAACATAATGTACCCAATCTTGGTTAACTGGATTCCGGCTATGGTCATACGAGAAAGTGTCACACAAGTAGGAGTAATACTCGGCCCCTGTCGAGATTTCGGGGTAACACGAAAGGGTAAGATATGTGTTTTCTTGTTGACGATTCGCGCAAGAGATTCACCGGGCTTACCATATCACAACGGTTTCAAAGCCGTATGTACATGTACCCATCATACGTTTTCACATGTCAACCAAAATTGCACCCTCCTACTTCGTAAGCAAGAGAGATGTTCGCCGACGGTGGTGGGCACCCCCCGCACTCCCGGAGCCCCGGATGCTACCACGCAGAGGCAGCAGAGGCACGGGGGATATTGCTACACCCAGCCAGTCCTCAAGCACCCCCACCCTTCCTTCTCACTGCAACTCACCTCCCCCCCGAACCAACATCTCAATCCGCAGACAACACACGAGACGTGACACCACACTCACCCCAAGCTTCCCACTCCAACCACAACCAACACGACACAAAACATACCCACAGTCCCAACACCACAACACCATCCCAACACCACCCCCTCACCATGACCACCCCAACCGTCTTCATCACCGGCGCCACCGGTAGCCAAGGCTCCGCCCTCGCGCACCACCTGCGCCGCCTCAACTGGGCCGTGCACAGCACCGCACGCAACCTTTCCTCACCCGCGGCCCAAGCCCTCACCGCCATCGGGGTCCAACTCACCCCCGGCTCCTGGGACGACGAGGCCGCCCTCGCGTCCGCCATGGCTGGCTGTTCCAAGATGTTTCTGTGTCTACTGCCGGATTTTGGGGATCCGACCCGTGAGTTGCGCCAGGCGGGCGTGATGGTGCGCGTTGCGAGGGAGGCGGGGGTGAAGCAGGTGGTGGCGTCGACTTCGTTGGGGGTGTTTACGCTGGAGGAGGAGGGGGTTGGTGGGGGAGGTGACGGTGAGGGCAGAGGGGGAGTGGTGGCGGGGTCGGTGATGGCGGGCCATTTGGCGAATAAGAAAGGGATTGAGGAGGTGGTGAGAGGGGGCGGGTTTGAGAGGTGGGCGTTTTTGAGGCCGGCGTTTTTTATGGCGAATTTCTTGGAGCCCAAGGTGGCGAGGTATCCGGAGCCGAGGGAGAAGGGGACGTGGACGACGGCGATGACGCCCGAGGCGCCGCTGGCGTTAATCGATCATGTGGATATTGCGGCGTTTGCGGCAGCGGTGTTTCAACAGCCGGACAGGTTCCATGACCGGGCGTTTGGGCTGGCGAGTGAGTTGTTGACGGTGCAGGAGACGTTGGATGCGTTGGGGGAGGCGGCGGGGAGGTCGCTGAAGGCGGTGTTTATGACGGATGAGGAGATTGCCGAGAAGCAGAGGACGTCGAATGTGTTCACGAACTCACAGGTGTCGCTGCGGTATGCTGCCAAGTATATTGATATGGAGGAGGTTGCGTCGGTGATCCGGCCTACTTCGTTTAAGGATTTCTTGGAAAGGGAGAAAGAGGGTGTCAAGAAGACGTACGTGTGATGGGTTCTACGTTTAGCCTCGTCATGATATCTCCTAGTAGTTACCGAACTTTTGTTGCTGATGCCACGAGATGCCTTTGCTTGATTCATGTATACCCCAAAGTATTACTCATGTTGTTCATAACCTGAAGCTCACGCTGCTTGTGTTTCTCCTTTACTGCCGAATAAGCCCATGCATGTTGTGGCGCAGGCACCTACCTCAGTTACCGAAGTGAATAGGGGCCGTGGTCGCATAATTTGAGCGACCTTCGAATCATGATCCATGGTCCAGTCAGAATCAGCTGCCTTGACTCACGATCAACATCCAGACTTGGCTAGGCCCAAAGCAATAAGAATTAAGGTTCCCTAGCGTGTAGGTAAGGTACACACATGGATGGCTTCCCGTCGATCCCGGCCCGGGTTGGCGGGGCGCAACGGTGCAAGTGCCGGTGCGGGTGCTCCCCGAACACCATCAAGAGATAGTACCTCGATCTTGACAGCAGGATAACGCGGGGAAACGCACAATCGCCCTCCGGTGCCCAGTCTTTCCACGGGCTTTCGGGTCCCGCCTCCTAGTTGCAACTCCTGCTCGACCAATGGACGATATCCAATTCAGCCTGTTTGACACACTCGATCTCGATGCCCAGAATGCCCACAACCGCTGCTTTGACAGTTGTTCCGGAGAGCTGGACGGAAGTAACGTGCATAATTAGGGTACGTTTGGCTATGCCGGAAAAGGTGTAGATCGACGAGGTGTGCTCGTTTTCGAGCCCGTGCTATATTTGCTTGACCACGCAAACCTCCATTAGGCGGCGGGCAGGTAACAAGGGAGGCCGAAACCTAACTGTCAAAGCAACCCGTGGTTACATTTAGCACTATAGTTACCGGAGGCAGCGCAAAATAACCTCGAGCTCGGACAGTCTCGGACTTGAAAGTTCCTGAGGAAGAAGGCAGGGACTCAGCGTTGGTTCCCAGGTTGTAAAGAGCTCATAACTCCAGCTTCAACCAGCTTCAAGACTTCTCAGCCTTCTAAACTCTCCTTGTTTCGTAGTAATAACTTTGAATCACATTGACTTTGCAAAACCCGAAGCTCTCAAGTCTCAAAATGCGGCTTTCACATCTTGTTGCTGGGGCGATCCCCCTTGTGGGTGTCCTGGGTCACGGGGGTGTTTACAATTACACCATCGGAGACGTTTCATACGCCGGGTGGGTTATTCACACGCCCCATTTTCTGGCTCAACTAACAGCAGCCAACCCAGTTCCTACCCATGGCTACTCGAGGATCAGCAGGCGAAGGGCATCCAGCGCCGCTGGTGGCCGGACCCGATCCAGTCTGTGGACCACCCCCAGCTCTCTTGCAACCGCGGAAACCCACTGGAGAAGAATCTTCCCACAATGCACGCCGTTATTCAGGCCGGCACAAACATCACGGCGTACTACATCCCGCCGAAATGCCCGCCCGGGTACAACCAACCCACGGAGGTCCTGGCCCCCGAGTTCCAGGACCCCAGCCCGCCCATGCGGTGTGCCGGACCGGAGTACTCGTGGGTGCACTCCACGGGCCCACTCCTTGTCTACATGGCAGCTTGCAACGGGCCGTGCGACCAGTTCAACCCAGAGGGTAAGAAGGTTTGGTTCAAGGTCTATGAGTCTGGCCTGAAGAACGGCGGCAAGGTGAACGAATGGGGCCAGAAGATCGACGTTGCTTCCGGCGAGGGCTGGGACCAGATCCGCTTTGCCAACAACGGATGGAGCATCACGATCCCCAAGAACCTGAAGCCGGGCAACTACCTCATCCGGCACGAGATCATCATGATTGAGCTGATGCCCCCTCAGTTCTACCCCGAGTGCGCCAATCTCGAGGTGACTGGTGATGGAACCGAGCTTCCCGGTGAAGAGTATCTAGTATCTTTCCCCGGGGCTTACTCTCTGGAAGGTAAGTAACCCTTGATCTTGCAGTAAATGGAACAGGAATGAAGCTGATACATGTCTCTAGACCCCGGGCTCGCGCTCAGCGGTGATTTGTACTCCCAAAAGGGACATTCCACTTATGTAAGTGTAGGAGCCCTCGTGAAGCATGCTCAGATACTGAAACCAAAACCAGAACTACACCATTCCGGGGCCGGCCGTCTGGACTGGTGAGAAGTAAGCACCGAAGGTGCCAGGCATTTGTGGGACGTACCCCTGAGGAGGAACACGGTAACACAAGTGAAGGGCGCCGGAGGGGGGAGGGGGTGGACCGGGAAGAAAGCCGAGGCAACGCTAGCAACAAAGCCTGTTGGTTTGCTTGACAGAATCTAGGGCACCGGAAATTTGAGCGTTGAGTGATTTGCATTTCCACGTGTCTCGTGTGTATTTTGGTCTTCTGTCTTGCAGCGCCAATAGTGGGAGCTTTGTCAGCCACTGTACATGCCGCAAAAGCGGTTGTGGTGGGTGGGGGAAAATAAGGGGCTGTTCGGCAACATTCGGGCCTGGGATTTGGGACCAAGTCAGCCTTAATGCTCCGTGAAATACCGCGTCAAACCAACACCACTTGTGTTCGTTCATCTGCTGCGCCGCCAACCCCGCGGGGCATCCAGGGTATTTCGTACAGATGTCCCTCTCTCCGAAGACTTACTTACATAATCCCCCCGATTTGACCGAGGACCACCAAGATTCCAGCATCTGGGGAACCTGAACCTGCCAACAGACCACAGTTGCAGCTGCTCGGCAGGTGTGATCGATGACCCACGCTCAGCATGCGGGGAACTCGGCCTCTCATTATAAAGCCCGCGTATTTGCGTCTTGTCCACCACAGTTTTCCATCAAGACAGGCCATTCCATTCTCAGTCTCAGCTCAAGCAGCAGCACGGAAGCCATCCTCCCCATCCAGAACAACACCACCAACAACAGCGCCAAAAACAACACCACCACAACCCCAACCCCGCAACTTCCACCACACCACGCCCAACACCCAACAACAACAACAACAACCACCACCCCAACAACAACCACCCCAGCCCCCCAAACCCAAAATGGCCACCGCTCCCCTTACTACCAAGGCGTTTGCTGACCCCCCAGCGTTTAGGTGCTAGACGCCGCTTGCTGCTCAGTACAATACGGACGGCGTTTCCTGGCATGGTTGATGACACCGTCTTTCTAGAGTTAATTCATATGTGGGGACTTCTTTCTCGGCCCATTTAAGCGCTGGTCATCCCTGCACCCAGCTTGTAACCAAGTACCAAGAATTGCATGAGCACCTTACAGCCCGCTCGTTTTTCTGGACCTAGCGAACGGCAAAGTGCAATACCTGCACTTCGCTAGGGGGCTGTAGTCGTGATCATGCTTGCTGGAGCTCTGGAGGGCACCGATTAACATGGACCCAACAA